CTCCTTTTCACAGGCTTCAGGTCCTTAGTTCCCATTATTTTTGGTGTCTGCCCTCAATGGGTGAGGTTGGTTCAGTGGCTGTGTAGGCTTCCTGGTGGGGGGGACTGGTGCCTGTGTTCTGGTGGGTGGGACTGTATCTTGTCCTTCTAGTGGGGAGAGCCATGTCCAGTGGTGTGTTTTGGAGTGTCTTTGAACTTAGTATGACTTTAGAAAGCCTCTCTGCCTAAAAGGTGGGGTTGTGTTTCTGTCTTGCTAGTTGTTTGGCATGGGGTGTCCAGCACTGGAATTTACTGGCCATTGGGTGGAGCTGGGTCTCAGTGTTGAGATGGAGATCTCTAGGAGAGCTCTTGCCAATTGATATTACATCGGGCTGGGAGGTTTCTGGTGGCCCAATGTCCTGGACTTGGTCCTCCCACCTTGGAGGCTCAGGCCCGACACCTGGCCAGAGCACCAAGACCCTGCCAGTCACATGGCTCAGAAGAAAAGGAAGAGAGAAAAAAAACAAAAACAAAAACAAAAACAAATGAACAGACAGAACCCTCGGACAAATGGTAAAAGCAAACGTATACAGACAAAATCACACAAAGAAGCATACACATACACACTCACAAAAAGAGAAAAAGGAAAAAAAAAAATATATTTTAAAAAAAAGAAGAGAGCAACCAAACCAATAAACAAATCTACCAATGATAGTAAGTACTAAATACTAAACTAAGAGAAACATAAAACCAGAAACAAATTAGATGCAGAAAGCAAACTCCAAGTCTACAGTTGCTCCCCAAATCCACTGCCTCAATTTTGGGAACATTCGTTGTCTATTCAGGTATTCTTCAGATGCAGCGTTTATCAAGTTGGTTGTGGGGATTTAATCTGCTGCTCTGGGGCTGCATGGAGAAATTTTCCTTTCTCTTCTTTATTAGCACAGCTCCTGGGGTTCAGCTTTGGTTTAGGCCCTGCCTCTGCGTGTAGGCTGTCCTCAGGAGTCTGTTACCCACCCAGACAGGAGGGGGTTAAAGCAGCATCTGATTAGGGGGCTCTTGCTCACTCAGGCCAGGGGGAGGCAGGGGTACAGTAGTCATAATTGGGATGTGGGGCAAGCCTGAGGCAGCAGAGACTGGCGTGATGTTACAACAGCCTGAGCTGTGCCGTGTGTTCTCCCGGGGAACTTGTCCCTGGATCATGGGACCCTGGCAGTGGTGGGCTGCACAGGCTCCCAGGGTGGGTATGGGTAGTGACCTGTGCTTGCACACAGGATTCTTGGTGGCAGCAGCAGTAGCGTTAGTGGTTCATGCCTGTCTCTGGTGTCTGAGCTGTTAGCTGCGGATTGCGCCCGTATCTGGAGCTCATTTAGGTGGTGCTCTGCCCCCTGTGCGCAGACAGGGGAGGAATCCCCTCTCCTTGTGCATCCTGAAACAATGGTCTCTTGCCTCACCAGCAGATCCAGACTTTTTCCTGGACTCCCTTCCAGCTAGCTCTGGTGCACTAGCCCCTTCAGGCTGTGTTCACGCAGCCAACCCCAGTCCTTTCCCTGGGGTCTGACCTCCGAAGCCTGATCCTCAGCTCCCAGCCCCCGGCCGCCCCGGCGGGTGAGCACACAAGCCTCTCGGGCTGGTGAGCGCCGGTCGGCACCGATCCTCTGTGCGGGAATCTCTCCGCTTTGCCCTCCGCACCCCCGTTGCTGCGCCCTCCTCCGCGGCTCGGAAGCTCCCCGCTCCGCCTCCCGCAGTCTCTGCCCTCGAAGGGGCTTCCTAGTGTGTGGAAACCTTTCCTCCTTCACAGCTCCCTCCCACTGGTGCAGGTCCTGTCCCTATTCTTTTGTCTCTGTTTTTTCCTTTTTCTTTTGCCCTACCCAGTTACGTGGTGGGGGGGGGGGTTCTTGCCTTTTGGGAAGTCTGGGGTCTTCTGTCAGCGTTCAGTAGGTGTTCTGTAGGAGTTGTTCCACATGCAGCTGTGTTTTTGATGTATTTATGGGGAGGAAGGTGATCTCCACGTCTTACTCTTCTGCCATCTTGAAGGTCTCTTCCTTTTCTTCTCATTTTCCCTGGCTTCTTGAGAATATATCCTCTGTGTGCCCACTGAGGGCCAGCAGTGCTGTGAGTGATGAGGGTGCAACATGCCCCAGAGCTCTGGTCTTCCTCCTATGGGGCCTATAAACCAGATGGCAGGACTAGCAACAAAAAGTCAAACAGGAGAAATGCCTATAGTGCTGCGTGCCCTGCAGGGAAGTAAGAAAGTATGGGCGTGAGGTGGTGCTTGGATGGCCATGGTAGATCACATGGCCAAGTTGGTGGGAAGGGCTTTCTCAGGAGGTGGGATTAGAGACCAGAGCTGGATGGCAGAAGGAGCCATGGGTGCTCCAGGCAGAGGAATTGGCCGGTGCAAAACCCTGGGAGGACCTTTCCTCCTTTGAGAAGAGGAGGAAGGCCATGTGACTGGGGTGGGTGGGTGGGGAACAATCTGGGGAGCTGGGCTGGGGAGTGGTAAGGGACCATCTAACAGAGGGCTCTGCCATCCCATGTAGCAGGTGGATTTTATTTTAGATGTGCTGTGAAGCCCTTGGGTGTTTAACCAGGAAAGGGACACCATCTTACATAAATAGTTAATGTGGCGATGAGTGGTGAATAGACTGTAGGCTGAGAGCTTAAGCAGGGGGCCACTGCAATGGTCCAGGTGAGAGATGGGGGTGGTGGCCTGGCAGGTGGTGTGGAGAGAAACGGGTGGATTGAGAAATTGTTGGATCGGGTGGCAGGCGGATTGTTATGAGAATGAGTGAGAAGATGAGGATGATGCCTGAAAATTTGATTGAGCCTCTGGGAGGAAGATGTTGCTGAGGAGACGGGGAGAAATGGGAATGTAATGTTGAGTTTGAGATGCATTTTAGACAACCAAGTAGCTGGTGGGATATACGAGCCTGCAATTCTCAAGGGTGGACCAGGCTGGTGATTTAGATTGGGAAGTCGTAGGCCCATAGCTGGTATTTACAACCAGGACTGGGTGAGATCATCAGGGGTCATGGGTATAGGGTAGAGAAGAGGACCCAGGAATGAATGAGCCCTGGGACCAGCCAACATTAAGAGACTGAGCAAAGGAGGAGGAATCAGCTAAGGAGGGCGGGAAGAACCAGCTGGCATGGGAGGACGACCCTTAAGGACCCAGAACACAGAGAACACAGTGGGCTAGAGATATAAACCCACGAGTGTTCTAAATGGAGATGTTATTGAAAGCCACGTTAATGAAAGCCCATTGCTGCGTAAGAAAAGAGCCCTAAACTCGGCAACTTAAAACAACAGACATTTCTTATTTCACAGCTTCTCTGGGTCAGGAATCTGAGTGTGACTTAGCTGGGTGGCTCTGCTCAGGGTCCCTTACAGGCTGTGGTCAAAGTGCCCACTGGGGCTGCAGTCATTTCATGGCTGGATTTTGGAGGGGAAGGGGGTCTGTTTCTAAACTCACTTATGTGGCTGTTGGAAGGATTCAGTTCCTGGTGGGCTGTTGGGCTGAGGGTTTGAGTTCCTTGCTGGCTGCGGGCCTGAGATCCCCCTCAGTTCCTGGCCATGTGGCCTCTCCATAGGCTGGCTCACATGGCAGCCAGCTTCCTCTCTTGCAAGAGGGGGTGAGCAAGATGGACTCCAGAGTCCTTTTGTAACCTAATCTCAGAAGTGACATCCCATGACTTGTGTCATATTCTGTTGATTAGAAGAGAGTCACTAGATTCAGTCCAACTCAAGGGGACAGGGCTCCACAAGATTCCCAGGAGGTGGGACCATTGGGGGTCACCCGAGAGGCTGCCTGCCACAGTGTAGGGGTGGAGAAAGTTGTAGAAATGTCAGTGTGAGAGGGAAGCAGGTCTAGGAGCCCAACAATTTAGGGGGAGGTAGAGGAGGAGGAACTGGGACAGGGAGGCTGAGAAGGGGGAACCAGTGTGTAGGTTCCATGAGCAACAAAAATAATAGGTTATTGCTTTATGTTTTGCAGACTTAGTTGCCATTTTATTCTCACCTGAGCCCTCTGAGACAGGTGTTAGTATTCCCATCTTATAGGTGAGGAAACTTTGGCTTGGAGATGTTAAATTATAGTCTGTAAGTGGCAGGAACCCAGGGCTGGTTCCACGGCATGTGCTTCTCCTCCCGATCAGTGGGATGTGGGCAGGGCCTGGGCTGCCTCTCTAAGCCAAGAACAAGGCAGAAAAAGGACCACAGAACTCACCAGCCCAGACCCACGTGGCTGGGACCCCCAAGCACCAATGGTGAAATGTAAAGATGGGTGTGGGAAACAGGGAGCACCACTGTAGGAAAACGCTGGGGGCTATGGGAACACACAGGAAGTTCCTGCCTGACTGGTTAGATCAAGGAGGACTTCCTGGAAGGGGAGGTGTCTCAGGACTTGGAAGAAGGTAGGACTTAGCAGAAGGAAGACAGGGAGTCCCTGATAGAGGAAGAGGCAGGAGCAAAACCCTGAAGGCTGGGGAAAGGCACATTTGGGGGCTGTGCACAGCCCGGGAGGGCCAGAGTGAAGGGCGTGACGAGAGATGTGGAGACGTGGACGTGTTCCCGATCACTGAGGGAATTTGGACTGTCCCCTGAAGGCATTTGGAGCCCTGGTGAGTGGTCAGCAGAGGAGTGACAAGGTCAGATTTGTGCTTTATAAAGATCACTCTGAAGCCACGTGATGTGCTGGAGCGGGGGTGGGGGGAGAATCAAAGGCAGCCATTGGAGTGGGGGGGATCATGGGAGGCATTGCAGCAGTCCGAGGAAGGGGAGACGGAGGACCAGACCAAGGTGAGGGCTGTGGGGATGGAGAGAACCAGGTAGGTGTGAAGAGCATTCATGCAGGATCAGGACTCAGTGGACTGGCTCAGTGGACTCCATAGAGATGGGAAACACGCAGGGGCTGCTTACCCCTGTGACAGGTGTGACTCAGTCTCCCTGAGTCCAAGTCAGTGCCTGGGTTTGTGGGGGGCCCCCGGGCGGCTGCTAGGACCACTTCCTCTTCTCTTGCAGCTCTGGATCCCTCCCGCCTTTGGCTGCCGCCCCGAGTACGACAACGGATTGGAGGAAATTGTCTTTGGCTTTGAACCCTGGATAATAGTGGTCAACCTGGCCATGCCTTTTTCTATTTTCTACCGAATGCACGCAGCTGCCTCCCTCTTTGAGGTCTATTGTAAGATATAATCTGTGTCCACATCAAAGACTGAGGAGAGAGATAACAAGAGAATTCAGTGGAGCCACCTGGGAATGGCGAGGTCGGGCAAATATTGCCTTACAAATGTGAGAAGGGCTGCCTTTTGTCTGCGATAACTGTTTTTCTCATGAGCTGGAATTGCCCATCACCCTGGATGAGTGTAAACAAGTTAGATCAAAATCTGAGATGGCTGAAGTCTGCCCTTGGTTAGTTAATTCTAACTGAACCTAAATTATTTGATCTCCTTCGAAATGAGATCCTCTGTTTTAGAATAATGTGATTTCAGGTCGGAAAAAAATATATCCAGTTTGTTTTTCATTAAAATATTTTCTGTTATCATGTTACTATATACAACCTTTTCCTGACCATCTGCATAGTCTAATCACCTTTAAAATTCATCTTTCCCAGAGCTGATGAATGTAGCTAAAATCACGTTTAGTTTATATTGTACTTTCTGAATACGTTTCATTTTTTGAACAAAGTTATTTTTATCGTCTGGATGGAAATTTGTGTATAGATCAATATAAAGACATATTTCTCACCTGAAATTTTGGCATATTTTCACTTGTAAAGTTTTTTTTTAATACATTAGTATCTTTCACTATAAATATATATAGGCTTATTTTAGAAAATTAGGACATTTCAGAAGAGTAGAGAGAAAAATCCCCTAAGACGCCATTGTTCAATTGACAATCATCTTTTTTCTTCCAGTTTAATTGAGATGTAATTGACATATAGCACTGTATAAGTTTAAGGTGTACATTAATGATTTGGCTTACATCATGAAATGATTATCACAATAAGCTTCGTGAACACTTGTCATCTCATATAGATGCAAAATTAAAGATAAGGATCTTGACAGTCATTTTTTAAACATCTTGATGTGTTTCTTTTAACTGTGTTGGACTCACAGGATTCTTTTCATTGCTGTTTTGTTATACTTGCCAGAGATGATGCGACATATTCAATTTTGTATGCAGTTTCCCCTCAACAATATGGCACAAACCTTCCCACCCGCATTGTTATAAACTCTTTTTAAATAGAATTTTCATACTGTATTCTATTCTCTATTGAGTACCGTAATTAACTTTGTTTCCTATTGTTCGTTTTAGAGTGTTTATAACTTTTTGTTTTTATCAGTGACTCTGCAAAAATCCACCATATATGTAAAACATTTTCTATATTTAGAATTGCTTCTTAAGATATATCCTTAAGGGCTTCCCTGGTGGCGCAGTGGTTGAGAGTCCGCCTGCCGATGCAGGGGACGCGGGTTCATGCCCCGGTCCGGGAAGATCCCACATGCCGCGGAGCTGCTGGGCCCGTGAGCCATGGCCGCTGAGCCTGCACGTCCGGAGCCTGTGCTCCGCAACGGGAGAGGCCACAACAGTGAGAGGCCCACGTACCGCAAAGAAAAAAAAAAAATCCTTAAAATCAGGATGCCATATCCAAAGGTTATAAATAGTTTAAAGCCTCTGAAGGAATATTGACATTTGGGATGGCTTTGTATATGTTTTTTCTTAATTCTTTTAAAATCATAATAAAATTAGTTAACTTACTGTAAGTACTAATGTGAACATCTTTTCATCTGAGTGTGTGTGTGTGTGTGTGTGTGTGTGTATATATATATATATATTTTTTTTTTTTTTTTTTTTTTTTTTAAAAACCAGGGGCAGAGGGACATAAAAAACACCAAAATTTTTACGTAACTGAAATACTTTATATTCATTTTTGGAAAAAGTAGGAAATGGGCAGATAGACTAAAAGCAAAGTAAAACTTTATCTATCATACCTTCCATCTAGGGCAGTGGTTCTCAACCGTGGGTGATCTTGTCTTCCAGGGGACTTTCGGCAATGTCTGGAGACATTTTTGTTACTGCTAGGGGGCGTTACTGGCATCTAATGGGTAGAGGCCAGGGAAGCTGTTAAACATCCTCCAGTACACAGGACAGGACTGTTTCCACCACAAAGAATTATTCTGATCCAAATGTTAACAGTGCCTAGGTTGAGAAATTACAATCTAGAGGTTACTGCTGTAACCTATTAGTACACACAAAGACACACACACACTCACACAGGCCCAAACGGGATTGCTTTTATATATATTGTATTTGCATGTAACTTGCTTTTTAAATCTTAACACACCAGCAAGTTTGTAACTATTTTAGGGTCCCCCGGCATTGATTCTCACACTTCTGAATGCATTAGAATCATTTAGGGAGCCTGTTAGGATTCCTGCCTTCCCAGCTAGGTCAGCTTCCGTTGGTCTACAGCGGGGTCCTGGAAGCTTAAATAAGCATCTCAGGTGATGCCAACTCCCTTCCAGAAGCATCTCAGGAGACCACGCACCTCAAGGTAAGACTCCTGAAGGACATTCCTCGACATGGTGTTCTCTTCTGCAATGTGACTTTGCACGGCTTCAAGGTACATTCCCTGGAGGAAGGTACCATTCCTCATGTAGTGAAACCCTGATGTTGGACATTTAGAGACATTTAAGTGGTTTGCTTGTTTGTTTGTTTGCTATTATAAATGACACCATGGCAAGCATCTTCTGCTGAGTTTTTGTGCACATTGGTAAACGACACTGTGTGAGATTACTACACGTGAATGCCAGTTTCTCCAAAAGATCCCATTTTGGTCATTATTAATTTCCCCCTGTACTAAGCACATCAGTACAGCCCTAGGGCCTCAGCCTGTGTGTTTTAGGCCCTGCCAAAGAGATATAGGGAATCACAGTAATGCTGGGAACAACTGGTCCAGGTGTGGTGGTTTTGGGGTGGGCATGGGGCACCATCAGAGCTCAGAAAAGTCAGCATAGCCTTGCTGGGCTCAGGGCTTTTGAGGAGGGATCTTAAAGATGTCCCTAAACAAGAAGAGCCCACAGGCTCAGCGGTGGCTATTCCAGCCAGGCAGCTTTGACCCACAAGTAGTTAAGCATCCTGACTCAACCAGTTAAGGCATCAAGGAAAATTTATTACCTTAATGCAATTCACAGAAAAGGAACCAGAGTGTGCAATTAACAAGTGTCCAGATCTCAGGGCTAGAATAAGAGCAATACAAATTAAAATAACAATGAGATACCATTTCCCATCCATCAGATCGGCAAGGGTTGGTTGGCAAGATATGAAAGAAAGGGAATTCACATACACGGGTGATAGGAGAGTATATTGATAAAGCCACGTGGAAGAACAATTGGCAATATTGACTAGGGCTACAGGTGCATATTCCTTAAGACCTAGCAATACCACTTGGTGTGTGTGTGCCCCAGAGGTACCCTCACTCACATGTGTTCATCACACATAGGAGATGTGTTCAGAAATGTCTACAGCAATAGTGCTTGTCATTGGGAAAAACTGAAAACAGCCTAAATGTCCATCAGTTAGGAGTATGAATAGGTAAATTATGGACTACCCCTACAGTGGAATATTTTTTCACAGGAGTGAAAAAAATGAATGGGCCAGAACAACGTGTATCAACCTGGGTAATCCCTCAAGACAATGCTGAATTAAGAATGAAATAGCATGAAGGTATAATTGGTATGATGCCATTAATATAATGTTTCAAAACAGACAAAACAATTCCTGATATTGAGGGGATACATCCATACACAGTAAAATTATAAACACACACGAAGATAGGATGCACCCCCAGTTCAGTGTGGTGGTTACCTGTGGGCTGGGAGGGAGGTCTGGAGTGGAGACAAACAGCTGAGTGCATGCAGTGCCTGAAATGTTTGATGTCTTAGACAAAGTGATTGGTATAAAAGTATTCATTATAGTTTCTTCTGTGCTTTTTGATATGCACAAGATATTTCATAATAAAAACGTTTGAAAGAAAGAGAAAAGAAAGTCAACATAAGGAAGATGAACTCAGAGTCATCAGAGAAGGTGAACTTGCAATATTCATCCACCATTGCTGGGAGGAGGGTGTCAAGGCTACTGCTGTGTGGTCTCCTGGGCAGGTAGATCCCAGAGGTGGAGTAACTCAATGCCATTAGCTGTAAACATCACCCGACTCGCTCCCCAGGGATGATTCCCTGCTCATCAGGAAACCCGACATGGATTTGTTTTCCCATGTGGTTCTCTACTGTGGGGACCGATGCCCTTGGCGCTCAAGTTACCAGGATAATCTCTTTCTCATCTGTTCTCACCTGTGGCAACCTGATCAGGGAAGAGCCTATGCATTTGGCAGCTTGAGCTCATTCATCCCTGACCCTGGTCAAGGCAGGATCTGAACTCGTGTTTTTTGGGTACCATGGCTCTTGGTGAGGCTGAATGGAAGGGCGAAAACTTTGGAGCTGGACACCCAGGGTCACAACTAGCCCCGTGGCACCTGGGTGTGACTTAGAAAAGATTTCCCTTCCACAAGACCTTTTATGAACTGCTGGACTAAACCGCACCAGCATCTGCCTAGTCGTCCTTGCCTGGAGGTCAAATTAGCCTCCTTTGTCTCCCCACAGGGAACATGAAGCCCAGTTGGAGTAGTTACTACTCTCGCCTGCTCACTGCATAGCTCTTCAAATTCGCCATGCTCCTCATGTCTGTCTCTGTCTATGAAGTCTCAGCTTCCAGCTGACCTCACTGGATAAGCATTACTACTCTATTAGAATGGGGGGTAGGACTTCCCTGGCAGTCCGGTGATTAAGAATCTGTGCTTCCACTGCAGGGGACATGGGGTTCGATCCCCGGTCGTGGAACTAAGATCCCGCATGCTACGCGGTGCGGCCAAAAAAAATGCGGGGAACCTTTGACCACGCCTACATCACGAGGAATTTGTAGCATTTGGACCACTGAGCCTTTTAAAAACCCATTGCCTTTCCTCCCTATTAGACATATCGTCTTAAAAAGAAAGCCAATTCGGTAAAAGTATCATTCAAACAGTTGCTTGAGGATGTGTGTACAGGCCAATGCATCCACGGACAGAACATCTCCCTATTCTCCCAGCTGTAAATTGCTACACTTAGCTCCACAGGGTGAAGAGCGAGCGGAAGCTGCTGCAAACAGCTGGTTCTCTGGGATTACGAGCGTTGCTGTGGAAGAGCATGACCAGCAGGGGGCGCTGGTGCCTTTCCTTC